TAAATTAATTAAAACGGTTTAAAGTCTATCTACAACTCTTAGCTATCTAGAAATAACAAGTACAAGTTGTTTACGTTGACGTTGTTGATAACTTAAGCTCGTTCTTTTTTTACATGTTGTTTAATTATATATCATGTTTTAGCCGGACATTATATGATGCAAATTATATTGAACTGTTTTGAATTTTTACCCGATAAGGGAATTTGTGTAACAATACTTGGTAGGCATTACAGAACTCCTGGTCTTTTTCTTTTAAGTTTTCTTGTAGGAACTATAACATACCTTAAAAATATTGAACACGTTTAACTTAATAAATGGTTAAACTAAAATAACTAATAAATAAATAGAAATAAAATACCCCAAGCAAACAGAAATAACAGGAACTCTGTATAATTTAATCTCAGAATGAACTACATGAACTGTTTTGATTTACATTGCCTGTTAAAACCTTATGCTTTGATATAAAAAGAATGTTTTATACACTAATTTGAAACTATATTTGATGAACGATAAGTCTATCATTAGGGTGTCCTGTGTCTATAAGTTAATGTCTAACTTTTATCCATTGATTGACAGTTAGACAGACGACTTGACATAGAGCTTCGTTATCATCAGATTTTTTAACCTTCATTTAATAAGAATAAATCTTTAATTCCCGCAGAAATGCCTCGTTAGCGGGTGTGATATTTCCCAACATTGTAATTTGTTTTCGCGACACATATCACTATAATTTTCTACGTAAGAAAACAAGGAGTTTTTGGTCATTAGCGCGGATTTGGATATTTTGAGCGAGGTTTATCGGTAATTTTGGTAATTATTTTACGGACTTTCTACAGAGGGTACTAATTTCTGTCGCGGATATATAAAGATTTTGAGATAATGTTGCAGAAATACTGGAATTGGACTGTCATTACTTCATAATTTGAATAAATAGAGGATTTCTCGACGGGGTTATTTTGGTTTATCAATTGAGTGGAGGGAAAATACAATTGGGCTAATGAGTATTGGGTAAACTAGAATAGCGGACACGACTGGCATGCGGGTTATAACTGAGATGACATTTTAGATACATTTATTGTCTATCTGATATATTTATATATATACAAAATGTCATAGTTAGCTTGAACTTACAATGGATTTATAAAATATAAGTAAACATAATGTATAAAGATTCACTCGTTTGATTCATTGATTCATTAATGATGATTTTAACAACAGAAACAACGGAATAAACCCATTATACTCAACAGTGTGAAAAGAAATCTTACAATATTTTGATATTTTGCTTTTTACAAAGAAAAAAGTACAACCAGAACACAAATTGAAAATAAAATACGAATCTGTGTTTTTTATTTTGAGATTTGTGATTTTTGTCATTGTTTTTGTTTGCAGGACATATGACTGATGAATCTATTTCATACTGACAATTTCGCACCGGGCACCTTATTTGATTTGTCTTTCATTGAGTGAAGCGGTATACGCTTAAATGGCGATGCATACTCCACCACCATTGAATTTAACATGGTGACAATGCGTGAATTTTTACAGTTCTTTATTTCGTATTTGATTATCAAGATAAACTGTTGAAACCTTTGACATTATCGACAGTATCATCTGGGAAGACGGTCACTTCATATTTGATTAAATTTTGCATTATTTTACCAGTCCGGATAACATTTTGACATCCATTTGAATCAGCAGGTATTTTCTTGTCAGCTTCCAATCTTTTGTCATGCGCAAAGGTTATCGTATCATCTCAACGTTGATTGGCTGAGAACAAAAGCCAAAGTGTCGCAGAAGATCCCCGCGAGGATTCCTCGTTAAAAGATTACAAAATTTCCATAGAGTCGCGCGCTGTGCACGCGACGCGTACTAATATTTAGTTAACAACAAGAAATAGTTCAAAAATGAATGACTGAGGGCAGGTGCCATGAAACAATTACAGGATAATTACACAGTTAGCAAATATAATGAGAGCTCCCTGATAGCTAGATACGGTATCGAAATACTCATTATCACAGATACATTTTTATTAAAACTTCCTTTAACAATTTAATTGTTATCGTTTAATCAAATCCCATTTTACTTCCGAAACATCGAAACATTTTATACATAGTCGAATCGTGGACTAAAAATCAAGATAACATTGGTCTTAATATCGACTCATTTTGTTTTGACTTTTACGATTTTAGGGGGCATCCGATTATTCGGTTAAAGGCACATTTTGCCTTTGAAATGAATAAATTTTCGCTTTCTTGCAAAGGACAAACTTGAGTTTGGTAACATTTAAATAATGGTTTAAGGTCTTATTAGATGCTTTACACCAGAGAAATTATTTGTCGTATAAGTGGCAAAATGTAAACAAACTAGTATTTTACTACCATACAAAATGACTATAACTGTACTAATCGTCAAAAGGCAACAGAATCAAAAGATGGTTCAGGTAACTGGCCAATGAGTAACTTTTTGTTAAATACAAGGTTTAAAGATAAAGGCATTTCTGTGACATAATGGGCCTCACAATAGGTAAAAACCATTATTTCGGTAAAAATGAAAACTTATATAACACACTTTGAATTTCATTACATTATATGTTTAATTCGATACTTACATCACGAACAAGCAACCACGTAGTTATTTTCAAAGTAGATCAAAGGGAAAGTACTGCACTAAGAAAAGCTATTTGTCTGAAATGAGTGACTTCTCTTACTACAAATGTACTGTTGAAAATATCGAAATCGGTGCTTCATCTTTTAAAGATTGGAGAAAAAGAAATTAATTTTCAGTTTATTTCAATGTTGACATAAATTCATGTATGACATTAATATTAAGAGCTTTCGGTCGTTTTTATATAAAACATAATAAATGAAAAATGTCTCCAACACGTGTCCATTCGATTTAACGAGACTGTTAAAAGAAAATTATTTATTGTTAATTCTTAATTCAACATAAAAATGAACTATTTACTATATATAGTTTTTAATTCAAATTCAGTTTAATCTGAATAATTTATCCTTTGTATTTATTATTAAGAAAATATTTAGAAAACTGTTTATGACCAAGCAGGCAAAAGTTTGTCAATAAAACATAAAACAAATATGTAATGTAAAACTGCCAAAAAATTGTACGGAGCATTTCAAATAAGGAAAGAGTTTATCGATGTAGAACCTGCTTCTTAATTTGCCTAATATCATTAACTATTTTACTTTTGTGTCAATCTATGCATGTTATGTATGTGTATGACAAGCACAGGTTATGTATATATATTAATGTTTTTATTCATCATTACTCATCACTTTGTAATTGTTAAATTGACCAAATGCAGATCATGAATTCCTATATAATTTCTACATACACTCACACATTTTTAATGCTACCATACAAGCAGGTCATATAGTGTCATATACATGTAAAATGCTCAGTTCATTCTAACCATGACCCAAAAATAACAGGGTCTTAAGCTTTAGGATTTTCTGTCTTCTGCTATACAGAGGTCCGTTATTGTAGGGACAATTGAGATCCCAACTAAACGCCCCCCTCCCCCTGCAGACTGAGCTGGTCAAAGCCCCCATCATTATGGCGCTAAAAAGTACCACATTATATATTAATGGGAGGATGAGATAAACGGAAGAAAATAAATCTCGAGCAAGTTCGCTGCTATTGTAATAACTGACAATTGTACAATGAAAACCTAGGGTCATTGATCAGAAAGTATCATTAAAATATGATCTCAGTATTATTAAAACAACACTCTCAATCTCAATCAATTTTAATGTTCAAGGTCAACTAATTATAAATAAAACTTACTCAGAGTTCAGAAATATGAACGTTTATCTACTTGAAAACCCACGCTCAGTTGAAGACACTATGAGTAATTTAAGTAAACAATAGATATCTTCTATCTTTGTCAAGTTATTGCTTCCTTCCTTTTCCTTTCTTATCAATGGGATTGACGTTTACTAATTTTAATATTATATAGTGTCAAAGGCTGAAAACTTTATTGAATACTAAAAATGTTATTAATAACTTTACTTATGCTTAATTTATGGAAGTCATTTCAAATTTTACAATTTGAAAATAGAAACTCTAAAACTACCGAGAAAGACTGATATGTTAATCTCTCCTGAAATAAGATTCTTCATAATCATCATCATCAGCACCAAATATACCAACAACACAACAGATATAAACACCGCCATCATCACCATCATTAGTGTCATAATCCTTGTCAACAGAATCAGCATCAGCAGGAGCAACAGCAAAAATCATCATGGTTGTCATCGTCCAAAGGACTTTTTATTACTATGTTTACTGTTTTTTTTTCATGTAGAGGAGGGAATTGGGGGGTGGGGGGGTAAGTGAGGGGATGAGATTAAGTCAATACGATACGTTATGAATCTGCAAAGGGAATTAAGTAACATAAATGGTGAACAGAAGAACTATGTTTATAACTATTAGCACTAACTGTCACCTTTTTAGAAACGAAATACTCGGTCAAGTTAGTCAGAATCAATAATTTTCTCCGCTCGAACTCGTCCACACAATGTTCTTAGGGTAATAAGTAAGCATCTGGTCATATCAATATTAGTTGTAATTTTACTAGTTACGAGTTCAAAGCATTCCCTATAGAATTAATAATACAATTATCATCATGTATTCAGTCACGTCCAAACTAACCAAGTATTCGATGTAACGACTGATTTCACTTATCACCAAAAGCTCACTTGTATAAAACATACAATATATCAAACGTTCACAAGTTGTTTTAATGTACAGTTTTCCGGCAAGTGCGGATCTTAATAATTTATTGTGATAAAATTTTCTATTCAGCTTGATACGGAAATTTTCACCAGCATTTTTAAGTACATCTCAATTGTTTCTGACTTTACTGATTAGTAATAACTTAATATGAACTACATGTATAAATGCAAACGAAGATTACCTTTTGCACAGGTTTAGTTTATTCATTCAATGAAAAAGGAAGAAAGTACAGAAAAAAAATGAAATTCGACGAGGATAACGGCGGTGACACGTCATTGACCACGTTGCCTGTGACAATATACATCGGATTAATTGCTATTTTAGGAATAATAGGAAATATTGTTGTCCTGGTAGTTTACAACCGGAAGTACCCAAAATGCAATTTTAAATATTTTGTGTTAGTGCTTGCTGGACTAGATCTCACAAGCTGTACGATATTGATGCCGATGGAGATTTACACTCTTATTAACTGGTTCCAGTTCACTTATCCCTGGTTGTGCAAGATCAAATCGTTTTTAAACGTCTTTACGGTGACGTCATCTGCCGCGACGTTGCTGCTGATTGCGATAGACAGATTTCGTAAAGTTTGTAAACCACACAGTAAACAGATTCAGCCGGAGTTAGCAATCAAATTATCAATATTAGTACTATTTCTGTCAGTTATACCGGCCACGAGTGACGCTATATTTTGGGGCATCCACACACACGAAGAAGCTAATATTACTGCACATATGTGCGAAAAGGATAACGATTTTAAACATACTATTTGGCCTCAACTTCATGTTGCAATTTTATATGCAGGTGTAAATAGCATAGTAATGATGTCAACGTTTGTATTGTACGTTCTTATAGCTGTAAAATTGTTCTGTATTCCTTCCGGTCCAGCTGTCACTACGCCTAAAATAACTTTACAATCTGATCACTCAAGTGGTGTCGAGCCATCTGACACAGAAAATAATGTTTTCAAGCTTTCAGCAGATATCGAATCAGGTTTATCTGAATCCGGATTATCTGAATCTGAAGATTTTGACTGTGTGCCGACCGTTGATCAAAGTGACTCAGCAGACGTCAAACTAGATGATACAAAAGATGACGTTAAAGGTAAAATCAATGAAGATAAAATGGAAATGGTAACTTTGAGGCCAAAATCGGTAGAATTAAAATGTTCTGTTCCGGGGAAAGCAGTTCGATTATCCTTGCAGAGACATTCAGATTCATGTGATAGGAACTCGTTACAGATTCCCGACATTAAGTTTCGAAAAATTCCAAAAGTCCCTGTAAGTCCGACAACGGAACAGTTTAAAAAACAAGCTGCGTATCGTCGGCGGCGTTCAACAATCGGAAGTCTTTCTAAGCACACTGGTACCCGACTTCGACGTAAAACATTAATCATGTTTATACTGACAGCAGTGTTTATTGTAACTACAGTATTGTATTTTTGCCTCATCGGCTTGATGGCCGACCATGAAAGCCTTTTCGTGAAAAAATTAACCATGTCCGAACAAACTGCGTGGTTTTTTTTCCTTAGACTATATTTCATAAACAGTGTAATTAATCCTGTATTATACGGATTCTTAGACCCTAGATTTCGGAGGGCACTATGGAACATGGGTATTCGAATAACTTTCGCTGCTGGTTCCCTGAAAAGAAATATTGGGATGTCGATAAGGAGCAGGTCTAGTACGGGAAGAAATGAAGTTACAGTTGTACAAACTTCACGGGTACCTAGGCCAATTCTGAAATCTGGATCTAGCATGACGGTCTCTGAATAGATTAATCAGGCCAAAGTGCGAATCTTTATTTTCTGCTTTCTACCTACTTTTATGCTATCTTATTTATTGTATCATATGCCAGTTTTTAAAACAATGAAAGGTCCGTTTATACATATATAAATTTCCGCTCGCAAAATGAATGTTTTTGTTTTGAATTATTCATTTACTAAGTGTAAATTGTATATTGTTCTGTAACTGACAAATACACGTTGTACTTTTCAAGTAAGAATTATTTTCTCTCTCTAATCATTATTGCGAGGTTGGCTATGTGATATACCAGTGTTCTTGAAGCTTCTATGACGCTTGGTCCAGTATAACAACAGACTGTTGTGATTATGATATATGACTGTATGGTATATCATGTAAATTTCCATCGGTGTCTGATATATGACCTGATGGGATATCACGTTAATGTGACAACTGTGTCTGATATAAGACTGGATTGGATATCATGTTAATCTGATTTAGGTATATCATATTTGACGGAATGTTATAACATACTTTTGGGACTACGGTGTCTGATATATGACCAGATGTGATGCCATGTTATTATGACTACAGTATTTGATATAGGACCTGACTGGATATCATGCTTATTTCACTACGGTATCTACGGAATATACTTATAATGAATGTGACTTCGGCATATGATATTTAACCGTATGAGATATCGTGCTAATGTGACTTCGGTATCCGTAAATGTCAGTAGGAATATTATTTTAATGTGACCTGCAATGTCTGATATATGACTGAATCGGATATAATGCAAATGTCACTACGGTGTCTGATATATGACCTGATTGGATACCATGGTTATGTGACTACGATGCGTGATATATGACTGAATGGAATCTCATGTCAATGTGAATGCGGTGTCTGATATAAGACCTGATGGAATAACATTTTGATGTGACTAAGTGTCTGATATATGACTGGACGGCATATTATGTTTATGGTGTGGGAGATAGGACCTGGTGGGATATCACCTTAATTTGTCTTCAATGTCTGATATATCACTTGATGGGATATCTTGCTTATGTGACGACGATGTCTTATATATGATTGGATGGAATCTCTTGTAAATCTGACTTCGGTTTCTAATTCATGACTGGACGGGGTATTGTGTTATTGTGACTTCGGTGTCTGATATATGACTTGATTGAATACCATGTAATGATACGGGATGATATTTCAGAGAAGAAGCACATTTACGTGAGCCATGGTGCTTACTTGTAAACTTCAAACGATTTTGATGAAAACTTTAATGAAAAATTGTGAAACCACTCTGGTGGAACATGAGAAAACATAGCCGTCACCCCGGTAGTGTTCGAACTCCTGATCTCTTTATCGAGAGGCAGACGCCTTTACGACTTTGGCGCCGCTTCCCAAACTGCTAAAATGACCGAAGTCCTGAATTATTGTCTTCTTATTTAAGTGCTTTATGCATGAAGATATTAACGAAGACGACACGCATTAATACAGGATTAAACACACCCGAGATTTAACTTATAAGCCATATGTGGAATAATGATTAACTGTTATATGTATGGAAAATAGAAGACAATTGTTTATCTCTCTGAATCATCTTCGGAGTTTGTCATTTGATTAATCAACGATAGTGCGAAGATTTTAGAATTTCAAAATGTTGACGATTACCACACAGTCTATGTTTGAACATATATGTATTACGCAATTAGTATTTTGATCATGTTCTAATTCTAAATCCTATGTTAGTCAAGTACTGATAAATCCGAGATCCATAGATTAAATGCTTTCTCTGAATGATTGACACGTCTCCGTAAGAACAATGACTCTTATACGGACAATCTCATTTTGTATGGAAGAGTTGCTTACCTTAACTTAAGCTGAGTTATTTTAGGACAATATTTTTAATAACACAAAATTTATTATAGTTCAAATGCACACTTCAATTGAATATAGATATAAAAGTTATCTCATCAATTCAAATCGTTACTGTCTTATATATAGTTTTTATTAACTAAAAGCATATGATGTACATTGCAGCATACAAACTATTTTCCACCATTATTTGACATGTGCGTTTTTTTTTAAACTAATAGCATCCTATTCACAAATGTATTGTTGATAAGATGACATTTGTTGCATATATTACAAACAGGTTTATACCTGTTTTTCAGTAATTGATTCATTCATTACTTTTTCGTGTGTATACTTATTAGTAGCACTGTGAAACAAATCAGTCTACTACAGTATCAAAATATGAATTAAAATCTAATAATTTGAAAATATATTTCAATATTTTCTCGTTTTGTTAAAAGAAAAAATATTTCTGCACCTTGTTCTAGTATTTCATTGACAAATTGCATGTAAGTGTTACTGGTCCTGTACTTGTATTTAACTATTGACGAAGAAGAAAAAAGATATTAATCTAATTAAAATCAATCGAATGTTTCAAAAGCATGGATGTAACACCACAATTGCTATAAATATCAAAATCATCGTTTGCCCATCATTTGGTTTGGATCAAATGATCCGCTACCCACTGAAGAACCTCCACTAGAAGCTCCAAATCCGTTCATTGCGTTTGGATCAAAACTGCCGCCGAACCCACCTGATGCACCTCCCGATTCACTACCAGATGTGCCCCCGCTTGAACTTCCGGACGATTGACCAAATCCACTACCCCCAAAACCGCCCGATGTCCCTCCACTGGAACTTCCAGACGATTGGCCGAAACCACTGCCACCAAAGCCACCAGATGCACCTCCTGAAGAACTTCCAGATGACTGGCCGAAACCACTTCCTCCAAAACCACCAGATGCGCCTCCAGTTGAACTTCCAGACGATTGGCCAAAACCACCAGAAGCATCTCCTCCTGAAGAACTTCCAGATGACTGGCCGAAACCACTTCCTCCAAAACCACCAGATGCGCCTCCAGTTGAGCTACCGGACGATTGGCCAAAACCACTTCCTCCAAAACCACCAGATGCACCACCGGTTGAACTTCCAGACGATTGACCAAATCCACTTCCACCAAAACCACCAGATGCACCACCGGTTGAACTTCCAGACGATTGACCAAAACCACTTCCTCCAAAACCACCAGAAGCATCTCCTCCTGAAGAACTTCCAGATGACTGGCCGAAACCACTTCCTCCAAAATCACCAGATGCGCCTCCAGTTGAACTTCCTGACGATTGGCCAAAACCACTTCCTCCAAAACCACCAGAAGCATCTCCTCCTGAAGAACTTCCAGATGACTGGCCGAAACCACTTCCTCCAAAACCACCAGATGCAGCACCGGTTGAACTTCCAGACGATTGACCAAAACCACTTCCTCCAAAACCACCAGATGCGCCTCCAGTGGAGCTACCGGACGATTGACCAAATCCACTTCCTCCAAAACCACCAGAAGCATCTCCTCCTGAAGAACTTCCAGACGACTGGCCGAAACCACTTCCTCCAAAGCCACCAGATGCTCCTCCTGAAGAACTTCCGGACGATTGGCCAAAGCCACTTCCACCAAAACCCCCAGATGCGCCTCCGGTTGAACTTCCAGACGATTGACCAAATCCACTTCCTCCAAAACCACCAGAAGCATCTCCTCCTGAAGAACTTCCAGACGATTGGCCGAAACCACTTCCTCCAAAACCACCAGATGCTCCTCCTGAAGAACTTCCGGACGATTGGCCAAAGCCACTTCCACCAAAACCCCCAGATGCGCCTCCGGTTGAACTTCCAGACGACTGGCCAAAACCACTTCCGCCAAAACCCCCAGATGCACCTCCTGTTGAACTTCCACCAGACCCACCAAAGCCATTCATAGCATTTGGGTCAAAGCTACCTCCCATAGAATTGCCTCTGAATTTAATTAATTCAGAAAAACAATTAAGACAAACTTATTTGGGTGTGCACGAATACAATTTATAATTATTTTAAATTTTTATCCGAAATTGTTTCATTCAACGAAATTTTATATACGTTAAAATATTAACTATTACAGGGAGCAAAAACCACTGTTAACATTCAATAATGAACGGTGTATGAATATACGAAATATTATTTGTAAAAAAAATATTCCATCAATTCGAAAACTGTAATTTTACCCTGTTGAGGACGCCCCTCCACTTGACGAGCTTCCAAACCCACTTCCTCCAAACCCACCACTACTGAAATTCAAAACATCATCTGTACAGTTAAATTTATTGGAAGAATTTTCAGATTGTTCACATATTGTTTTAAATCTTGCATAAAGATAATTATATGAATACTACATGTAGCTACAATAACATACATGTTAAGGTAAAATTAACGCTCTTTTTTTTCACGCGTTTTTTTCGTTTTTGAGAGAAGTATTTATTTTCCTTGCATAACAGAATGGTGTTTCCGTTAGTTTTTACTCATGTCGGATATTTTATCTGGCATGAGGGGTGCCAGGTGAGTCGCTTGCTTACAGATGGTGTCATTTTGGCGTATTCAAGAGTGAAACTGCGTGCTTAAGATTGTGTCACTTCGCATGTTGTAAATTCATACGCTATTTTGATAAAAATTTAAGCAACGAAATTACATTGAATTCTATGTAAAATTAATTCATGAAATTAAACAACTTAAAATATGGTAGAATATGCAAGAAAAATATCTCACATGTATCTGCAATACAGATCAAAATATCCGTCTCTCGGGTTACTGTCCGATAGACGAATACCCTCAGGACGGATATTCCAATCGGAAAAGCAACACATGACATCAATGTTGCTTCTTACTGACCTCCGGTTAAAGTCTATTGATAAGTGATAGGAATTCATGTGTAAGATCAGGTTTAAACTCAGGTATATTTTGACAGTATACACTTTCGATTTCCATTTTCTTGTATGGTCAACTTTAAATAATTGTGACAGGTTCGGAGTTACCAATATCAGCAAAGTTTAGGCGTAAGCGCAATTACCTCGAATCTGCACCGGAACTGCTCCCGAAACCACTTCCGCCAAACCCACCGCTACTACAATGACCATAAAACTAATGTTAACATATACTGATAGCGTAAAACCCTATAAATATATTTGTTACAAATTCTATGCAACATTTAACATATGAAAATGTTCCCTCTTTTCGATTTTTCTAAAAAAGAATAGTATACCATTATCAAGAATACACTCAGGCGTTGATCTAAAATACAAGTCTTTAATCTCACCTTGCAGAGCTACCACCGGTGTTACTTCCGAAACCACTTCCACCAAATCCACCGCTGCTGCTGAAATATGCGACTCAAAATGTTTTATGAGTGGTAAACAAATTTATGTGATTTTATGCTATATAACGTACAGAGCTTGTGAAAACATATATCAAATATTTAGATGTTACGTTTACAGTAATATTTTGTTTGAGCAGATAAAACTGAGTAAATGAGAAATTAAAACAGAAATAAAAAAGAAAGAATAGCCAACTATCTTTCGTAAATTTTCTTTCATCTTGCATATTTTCAACATGCAACTATTTCCTCAGCAGAAATTTTTAAAAATTAACAAACCTTCCGCCATTTCCGCTTCCGCCAAAACCCCCGGATGTGTCAAAACCAGCAGTCCTTAAAAGAAATGTTAACTTACAAAACTATTTAAGATTTAATACATCAACTGCAGTAAAATATAATGCTAGGGATTAATGGTATAATGTTTAAAGTTTAAATTGTAAGATTGTATATTTTTAATGATTAATACCACGCTTTTCCTATACTAATGGACGTTTTGGTAAGAACACGTTACTCCCTACTCACCCTCCGGTCCCAGAGTTCGAACTTCCGGATGACCCGCCGGCAGAACCAAAATTCACGGCATTTGGGTCAAATGTGCCGGACCCAGCACCTAGAAAAGATGAATTTTGACAATAATGACAAACATAAATTGCAAGCCGCATTACTTGTTTGTTAACCAAATATTTGTTTAATGAACAATAAATTAGCATGTGCGTACAAAAATAAAAATTACTTAAAACATTGTTTTTTTTATTCGATTAAACTTTCATATATATGTACATGTATTGCAAATTGAATTTATAATTCTTTATTTTACAATACGATATTGTGAGAAATTTGGCTGTGATTCACGTTTGAATCTTTTAGAAAAATATTTAACCACCTGAAGGGAAAATAGCCTTTTTTTGTAAAATTGTTACTGTACCCGACATTTATTATTAAGTATTATTTACTTACTTTGACATGCAACCGTCGACACAAGCAAAAATGCACATGTAAGCCGAAACATCGTGAAAGTGTCTGCAAAATTCTTGGTTGATTTTGAGCCTATACAAAATTACTTCAAACGTGTTTACTAAATTTGTCGTCTGGTACAGTAATTGTACTTTACACAAAACGACAATTTTAGAGATTCCACGACAAAAACAATACGGCGGCAAAGCAATTTGCACAACGGATGTCGTGGACTTTATGCGGTCTCTTATCGGAAAATATATCATTGTTTTAGATATCATTTGACCTTTCAATGTTAATAGAACAATTATATCTCTGGTAATCAGTCACCTGGCTAAAATGGTCAACGTTTTTGTCCCAAGGAAGGTCATAATTCGGTCTTGTAATAACGTCTGTGATAACACGGCTACAAGGTCGATTGTTTTTGTCTTTGACTACAGTAAAGAGACGTGTTCACGCTTTTCAGATGTCTTAGATATTTCATTAACCAAATGATATTATATATTAACACATCACCTACCTACTTTAACCATATGAAGTAATATTTAAGACATTTAAACAGAGAGTACCTACTTTAAAGGCGATTTTAAAAATTTGTCTTTTTTCAGAACGAATATGATTGCATAAAAAGCTTGCATTAGACTTGGAAATTAAGACAGAATATTAGAACTCTTTGTAGCCAATCTTTCGAATTCTTATATTTGTATTAAATATTAAGATAAATATTGAGAAGTAACCAAACCACAACTGTCTGGCTTCCGCGTGATTCGTTCCAAGCACGTCAACGAAAAAAGTAAAAAAGATATTATGATTAAAACATATGAGCCGCGTCACGACAAAACCAACATAATGGGTTTGCGACCAGCATAGATCCAGATCAGCCTGCGCATCCGCGCAGTCTGATCAGGATCCATGCTGTTCGCTTACAAACCCTATTACAAGTAGAGAAACTGATAGCGAACAGCATGGATCCTGATCAGACTGCGCGGATGCGCAGGCTGGTCTGGATCCATGCTGGTCGCAAACGCATTACCTTGGTTTTGTCGTGACGCGGCCTATATCATAAACAACATCTAAAATAAAGGAAGCTCTGAATAGACGAAAAGATATGACGCCAGCGAGCATTCTACGATTATAGTTATGTCAGTCAAATTAATATACTTGTTTAAAATTACTGAACTTATTACACATAATTATAGTGGCATATTTCTGCCACCAGATAACCTGATAACAAACTAGTTAATTAAGAGGTTAACTAGTTACGTAACTAGTTAACCTGATAATTAACTAGTTAATTAAGAGGTTAACTAGTTACGTAACTAGTTAATTTTTTCAATAAAGAAAAGATCATAACGGGAAATAAATGCATGTTAGTGCCTGCAACTGCCATCCTTTTATTATATCATCATCTTAAAATTAAGAGGTTAACTAGTTACGTAACTAGTTAACCTCTTAATTAACTAGTTAATTATCAGGTTAACTAGTTACGCAAATACCTAACTAGTTAACCTGATAAATAACTAGTTAATTAAGAGGTTAACTAGTTACGCAAATACCTAACTAGTTAACCTGATAAATAACTAGTTAATTAAGAGGTTAACTAGTTACTTTTTTACGTAACTAGTTAACCTCTTAACTAACTAGTTATTTATCAGGTTAACTAGTTACGTAACTAGTTAACCTGATAATTAACTAGTTAAGTATTAGGTTAACTAGTTACGTAAAAAAGTAACTAGTTAACCTGATAATTAACTAGTTAATTAAGAGGTTAACTAGTTAAGTATTTATTTAACTAGTTAACCTATTAATTAAACTAGTTAATTATCAGGTTAACTAGTTACGTAACTAGTTAACCTCTTAATATTAAGCTGACAATAAGGGATGGCAGTTTGCAGGCACTAACATGCATTTTTTTCCCGTTATGATCTTTTCTTTATTGAAAAAATTAACTAGTTACGTAACTAGTTAACCTGATAATTAACTAGTTAATTAAGAGGTTAACTAGTAACGTAACTAGTTAACCTCTTAATTAACTAGTTAATTATCAGGTTATCTGGTGGCAGAAATATGCCACCATACATAATGATGAAATAATGATAATAATAAAATAAACAACAACAACAATTATAAAGATTTATGGAGTAAATGTCTTTTCAACATTATGTTGTGACCCGTTTGTCCACTTTTCCACTGCATATTTGTATATTTTTATCTAATTTCCACCAACCAATCGCACTTGACGCATTTATATCGATATGCGTGCAGCTGTCCGTACAGTCACGCGCTTCAATTACTCTCAAAATGGCTGACAACACTTGAATGCAAAAAGACGATATTTAAAAGAGAATTATATTCGGATTATTGTAGTGTTTTTATTATTGTTATTTTTGTTATTTTTTCTTCAAAATATGACTGGAACATATAGATATGGATTATTTGTTGTGTTCCTGTTTGCAGCTAAAGGTTTGACAACTTTAATTATTCTTATAATCACTCATAGGTGGACAATTTTTGTAAATTTATTAAAATGTAAAAATATTAAATGATTTGCTTCAGATTGTACATGAATTATATATGTGCGTGCTTTTGATTTAGAAAAACGAAAACCTGAGAAGAATTACTTTGAAACTTTGTTTTTCAGGCTGTTATACAATACCACTCCCTGGAGTAAAGTCACACCTTATTTACCAAAACACCGATTCGCCGTATTTCCCTGACCAGGAATCAGTATTTCAAAACGAAATTGACTTCAAACCATCTTTCAGAAATGTGGTACCTAACTTCAGCAGTAATGAATCATTTAGACCAGTTTCAATAGATGTTCATCAAGACAAACCGACTACCACGATAAGCCCGTACGAGAAGCTACTCGACAAACTTTACGGAAATGATAAGTGGCGAAGTCTTTTAGAGCAAGATGGAAAAGGTCCAACAATTTCAACAACACGCATTCCATCTCTAGTAGAAACAACATCAATACCATCTTTTCAAGGATTTTACACCTACGAAATCTCTGGCAGTAAATTTAATGGACTACCAAAAATCTCTGAAAAAATTACGACTCCGCCAATTGTGACGTCAGAGTATGATAGAAATTCCGGGAACTCAAAGTTTATGATGAAAATTTCGGGAGTTCGACAACATGTTGTTCCTGATACTCCTAATTTAGATTCACATAAGTCTGAGGTTAAAAACAGTGAATTGGGAGCATTCTCCAAGGATGATGGTACTTCGTCAATGTTTTTCAAAGGGCAAGATGGAATTAGTCAGCAACATTTAACAATGCAACAACCAATCATGAGCGTTACTCAAAACCCACAAATGACAGCTGGGGGTAGCTTAGGATTTGATCCAAACCAAGTAAATGCTAATGGCGAAAATAGGCCTCAGAATTTTATGAACAGTGGTGCCAACACATTCAACCCAAATGAGATCAATAGCAAACAAAACTTGTTTCAACCAAACTCTGCCTTTCTTGCTTTAATCACACAGACTGGTTCAGATCCTAATAATCGACATCTTCCGGTAGCATATGATGCTGACGCAATCAATGAACGCTACATTGAACGAGTGAATAGCTTGTTCAAAGGTCAAACAGGTGCCACAGAAACTATATTTGGTACACAGCAATATGGATACAGGTTTAGTGCTTATGGTGATGCTAAACCCCAGCCCTATAATGCCGATGCTCTTAATCGCGAGATGATGGAAAATAATCAACACATGCCACAGAATACAATAAATTCAATTCTTTTGTCCGGAATAAAAGATCATCAGAAAACCTCGCCCACAGAGCATCAGATACCAACTGTAACGAATAATACCGACCATATAGCAATTCATAAGAATGATAATAATGCAAATTTACAGCCAAATACTAAAATGTGGCAAGCATCAACACCTAAAACCCCACTAAGATTTGGTTTTATACCTGGAAATCTATTTCCGGGTCAATCACAAGCTATTGCAGGACATCATCAAAATCTTGGAGAGCAGAAAGGTATGCCTCCTCAGTTTTTACGTCACATACCGGTTGCCATCGGAAATAACGCATTTAATCCAGATAAAATTAACGCAGCACAAAATGCCTATGATCCTAACGCAATATCATGGGTTAAATCAAGAGACACAGAGAAACTGGGCAAACGAGAAATTAATGATGCGGTAGATGTGACTGCTACTTTGGCTCCGCCAATACATAAATACACCACTACGACAACAAAACAGCCGGAACACGCATATACAACACATTCAACAGATGTTAAATCTAAACATAGTACGTCCTCTTCAGAAAAAGAAAAGTCTACAACCGGCACAAATTCTGGTTTTGACCCAAATGCGCTTAATTCAATTGAAGGCCAAACAAATTTTATTCCTGGACAAATTGCACCTAATTTTTCAGGATATAATCAAAATTCATACGGACAGTTACTATCAAATGAAAAACAACAAACAGCCGGTCTGGGCAGAAAAGACGGAGCAAAAATTACGTTTGATATTGCTCATCTTCTTGGTGTAAAGGCAACAGTGACAGACAATAACAGTTTCGTCGGTTATGGCCAAGGAACAATGCCATTATTTAATCCAAATAGTGCAAACAATTTGATGAAAATAGCTGGAGAAAGTAAAAACTCTTCATCAAACATGGCTGGTTTTGGAATGGATTTCATGGGAACTGGGTTTGATCCGAACGCTGCGAATAAGGGATTTTCAAGTATACTAGGATCAGATAAATATGGATTTTCACAAGGAAATAACTTAGTTAATCGTTCTGTACCAAATGCTTATGGTTACGGCGGATTCGACCCTAATTCTGCAAATACAGGATTTGGCAAAGCTGGGTTTGGTGTTGGAAACAGTGATTTTTCAGGTGGAGGTAGATATATGACGGCATTTGATCCTAATCAAGTGAATCATATGGCAGTCAAAAATCCGTTTGAACAAAAATCTAATGACACAACCTATAGCGGTACGACATCATACTTTCTTGGCATAGTGTCAGGGATCATTGGACAAAGCAATCAGTACAATTCGGCATACATGTCGGCGTTCAATCCCGATTCTGTAAACGTGGCCCCTTATGATCCAAATAAGTATAATCAAGTTCATCTCCATTTAGATCCATTGGATATGCTTAGCAAAAACCCAGGTATAGATAACGATACACTAGTCGCTGCAGCGTCCGCCTTTGATCCAGACAAAATAAATTACCCCAATAT